GAGAGAACATCTAGGGGAAGCCATCCAGATTGCAAGCCCATGTGTGGTCTTTGCAGCCTAAGCCTGGTAATCATTTTTCTACAAGCCTCTTCAGGGGTATATCAGAGTCCTCACCCGGTACTCTATGGGCCTGCCCCACTAGAGCTCAGATTTCCACTGCACATGCATGCCACCTGTGCCACTAGCTTCTGATCACCTGCTCCCTTGTCTAAGCTCCAGAGCACGGCCTATTGCTTTCCCAGAAACTCCAGATCAGCTGTGGCCTGAACAGTGGGTTAAACCTACTTGCTCCATCTGAATCCTATCCAATAGTCTTTCCTTGAGTATAATTTCACAGCCCAGGTTTCCATATGAAGTTTCTTTTTTTAAATTTTTTTTTTAAAAAAAATAAATGACAGTAGAATGCATTACAATTCTTATTGCACATATACAGCACATTTTTTCAAATCTCTGGTTGTATATAAAGTATGTTGACACCAATTTGTGTCTTCATACATGTACTTTGGATATGATGTCTCACACATTCCACCATCCTTGCTAATCCCCTGCCCCTACCTTTTCCCTTCCACCCCTCTGCCCTATCTAGAATTCATCTATTCCTTCCATGCTCCCCCTCCCTAACCAACTATGAATCAGCCTCCTTATATCAGAGAAAACATTCGGCATTTGTTTTTTTGGGATTGGCTAGATTCACACAGCATTATCTTCTACAACGCCATCCATTTACCTGCAAATGCCATGATTTTATTTCCATATGAAGTTTCTTTTTTTAATTGTTTATCTTTATATCTTATGGTTATTCTTATGATACGGTCCATAATTCTTTACATTGAATTTCCCTTATATATTAAATTCCCTCTGGGATTGGAGCCAGACTGGCTTCTATTATTGTGTTTGAGAAGCCTGCTCCTGCCTAATTACTAATCTGTTGTAGGCAACTTATCTCTCCTTCCTGAGGGCTTTTAATATTTTTCTTTATTTTCTGTGTTCTGCAGTTACACTGCAATTTTTACAGCATGAATTGGTTTTGTCCTCCAGATTTGTTGCAATTCCTGAATAATAGCTTATAATAATGATAGCTAAGACTTTTGGGTATTAGCTTCAGATCAGGCACTGCCACAGTCTGGCTGGGCACAATTCAGAAGCCACTTGTCAAAAGAAACAAACTTTATTTTTAGAACCACACAGGCCAAACAAAACAGCTCCTCAGGAAAAACCCTCAGAGCCCAACTGCCACCACCGACTTCCCACAAGCCTCTCACACAAACACAAGCCTCACTACCTCCCACAATCCTCCTGCTCTTGAGCCCGATTGGCTGGGTCGT